ACATCTACGCCCACAACAAATTATGTTCTACTCATGCAAAAGAACTACACATAGACCTAGCTCATGATGCCACTGTTGGGGAACGTTGCAGAAAACAAAAAATTTCCTACGGTTTCACCAAGATTCATCTATGAGTTCATCTAGCAACGAGTGATCGGATTGCATCTACATACCTTTGTAGATCAAGCGCGAAAGCGTTCAAAGAACGGGGATGAGGAAGTCGTACTCGACGTGATCCAAATCACCGGAGATCCTAGCGCCGAACGGACGACACATCCGCGTTCAACACACGTACGGTCAGCGTGATGTCTCCTCTTTCTTGATCCAGCAAGGGGGGAGGAGAGGTTGATGAAGATCCAGCAGCACGACGGCGTGGTGGTGGATGCAGGGGTCACCGCAGCAGGACTTCGCCGTTCTACTGCGAGAGGGAGAGGTGTAGCAGGGGAGAGGGAGGCGCCAAGACTCAAGGGTGCGGCTGCCCCTCCCTCCCCCCCTTTATATAGGCCCCCTAGGGGGTGCGTCGGCCCTAGGAGATGGGAGCACCTAGGGGGGGCGGCGGCCAAGGGGTGGAGTGCCCCCCAAGCCAGGTGGGGCGCCCCCACGCCCTAGGGTTCCCAACCCTAGGCGCATGGGGTGGGCCAAGGGGGGCGCACCAGCCCACTATGGGCTGGTTCCCCTCCCCACTTAGCCCATGGGGCCCTCCGAGATGGGTGGCCCCACCCGGTGGACCCCCAGGACCCTTCCGGTGGTCCCGATACAATACCGGTGACCCCCGAAACTCTCCCGATGGCCGAAACTGCACTTCCTATATATAATTCTTCACCTCCGGACCATTCCGGAACTCCTCGTGACGTCCAGAATCTCAGTAGGGACTCCGAACAACTTTCGGGTTACTGCATATTCATATCTCTACAACCCTAGTGTCACCGAACCTTAAGTGTGTAGACCCTACGGGTTCGGGAGACATGTAGACATGACCGAGATGGCTCTCCGGTCAATAACCAACAGCGGGATCTGGATACCCATGTTGGCTCCCACATGCTCCTCGATGATCTCATTGGATGAACCACGATGTCGAGGATTCAAGCAACCCCGTATACAATTTCCTTTGTCAATCGGTACGTTACTTGCCCGAGATTCGATCGTCGGTATCCCAATACCTCGTTCAATCTCGTTACCGACAAGTCACTTTACTCGTACCGTAATGCATGATCCCGTGACCAGACACTTGGTCACTTTGAGCTCATTGTGATGATGCATTACCGAGTGGGCCCAGAGATACCTCTCCGTCATACGGAGTGACAAATCCTAGTCTTGATCCGTGTCAACCCAACAGACACTTTCGGAGATACCCGTAGTATACCTTTATAGTCACCCAGTTACGTTGTGACGTTTGGTACACCCAAAGCACTTCTACGGTATCCGGGAGTTACACGATCTCATGGTCTAAGGAAAAGATACTTGACATTGGAAAAACTCTAGCAAACGAACTATACGATCTTGTGCTATGTTTAGGATTGGGTCTTGTCCATCACATCATTCTCCTAATGATGTGATCTCGTTATCAATGGCATCCAATGTCCATAGTCAGGAAACCATGACTATCTGTTGATCAACGAGCTAGTCAACTAGAGGCTTACTAGGGACATGTTGGTGTCTATGTATTCACACATGTATTACGATTTCCGGATAACACAATTATAGCATGAATAAAAAAAATTATCATGAACAAGGAAATATAATAATAATCCTTTTATTATTGCCTCTAGGGCATATTTCCAACAGAAACAACTTCTTGGGCATATGAACTAGGCGTACCAACCCGAAACATGGATGCAGACAGGAGGCCCGGAGGCGACGATAGGACAACTATAGGGCAGCGCGTGCTACTGGCGGCGTGGCGAACCGGGGAGCTCCTAACTGGCGCTTTTAGCGCCGCCAGACGAACCAGGCGCTCACGCGCTCTCTTGGGTGGGCCGGCCCATCAACGCTGCCGTGCTAACGAGTTGGTTTTGTTCACAAAAAAACCCCAGTTTTGTTCGATAAAAAATGTGCTCCCGTGAGGATTCAAGCTACCACCGTTTAGGTCATGCGCATGTTGATTAACCACTAGAGCTACTACAAGATTGTGAATGTTTACGTTACAAAACAGTTAAAACATTGCTGCAATATTTCTTCCACATACATTCAAGAAAAAATGTTATTTTGATGGAAAAAAAATAAGAACAAAATATTAAAAACAATCATGACTTGGAAAAAAGTTCATGTATTCAAAACAAAAATATGAATTAGGAAAAAGTTCATCCATTTTGAGAAAAAGTTCACAAAATTTCAAAAGTTCATTGATTTTGGGAAAAAGTTCATCGATTTTGAAAAATAAGTTCATTGAATTTCAAAAAAAAGTTCACCGACTTTCAAAAAAGTTCATCTATTTTGAAAAAGGTTCACAAACTTCAAAAAAAAGTTTATTGAACTTGAGAAAAAGTTCATCGAATTTCAAAAAAGACCATCTAATTTGAAAAAAGTTCATCGAATTTGAAAAATAGTTCACGGATTAAGGAAAAAATTCATCAAATTTGAAAAAAGTTCATTGAATTTGAAAAAAAAATCATGCATTTTGAAAAAAGGTCATCCAATTTGAAAAAACTTTCATATAATCCGGTGAACTTTTTATATCAAATTAGAAAAAAGGAAAAAAGAAAACGGAAAACAGAAAATAATAAATAAAAGAAAGAAGAAATAAAAAGGAAAAAAGGAAAAAAAGAATACAAGAAAGAAGAAGCTGCACATGATCACTTGACTGACCAGGCTCGGGTGGTTAGCTAGTGTTGCGCTGTAACCTTGCCACGCGGGATCGAATCCTTATCAGCGCTTATTTTTGCAGCAGTTTACGAAGGAAAAAAATGATCATGGGCTGGCCCATCGGGGAAGGTGGGGGTGCGCCGTGTACCATTATAATGCTATAACCGGCGCTATGAGCGCCGTTTAGGATTTGCCGGCGAACCGTCGCATCACCACAAATCGTGGGGATCGGGCGAGACAACACGAATTGAATGAAACTTGTCGATGGGCCTACATGGGCTTTCGGTCGTCGATTGACTTGATGAAGGAGATGATCTCTAGCTCTGTGCACGGACCAGCGGTCCAATTACGTGGGCTGAGTGGACTACAATAATGACGGGTGAAAAGGCACCACGACGCTGGGTGAGACAATTGAACAAACCTTAGCCTTTTCTTTACAGCACCAAATTGTTGTTGTGGCTTGTAGGTGCCCCATTATACTGTTTCTTAATACATTTTTTCTTGGCATTAAATTAGGTTTCAGCTTTCCACATATATCGCTACTCTTTTTCAAGATTTCCTAGGGCAACTCAAACGCGGATCACCAAAACCGCAAAACGGACCTCACCAAATGTTCGTGAACATGTTCGGGTGTGTCCGTGAACAGGGATGGGGGTGAAGGCCATCTAAATGTCCACTCCTGGTTTTTTTCCATATACCCGGACTAACAAAAAACAAAGATAAATAGCATATAATTTTTTAGCAATTGAAAGATAAATATTTCAATGCAACAATAATTCAAATAAATATATTACAATCCAAACATAAAGTTTCGAAATAAAATGTTTAAGTTTGAATCATCATAGTCGAACACATGTTCTATTTATGAAACGCCCAAAGGTGCCTAGCCAGATCATTTTGCAGCTGCTCACGAGTTCATTGATGTCAAATTTGATGATGCATTTTGATAAAATCCTCAAATTTCACTGGATTCTGGTGATGCATTTGGATAAAATTCTCAAATTTCACCGGATTCTGCCATGGACCGAACACTTGTCGTGCGTGGTGTCTACCATGGACGGCGTGGTGTCTACCATGGACGGCGTCAAAAGATAGCGGAGGATACTTGAGCTGCGGCTAGATAGCGGGTGGAACGGCTGCATAGTCCAAGGTGGGAAGGCGCTTGGGTGGAACACCGGAGGTCCGGCAAAGCCTGGATAGAGTGCGCGTGGTGTCTACCATGGACGGCGTCAAAAGATAGCGGAGGATACTTGAGCTGCGGCTAGATAGCGGGTGGAACGGCTGAATAGTCCAAGGTGGGAAGGCGCTTGGGTGGAACACCAGAGGTCCGGCAAAGCCCGGATAGAGTGCGGTGGGAGGGACGGAGCGAAGGGAAAGAGGCTTCAGGTTGGGATATTTTGGGTGTCGGACGTCCGTTTATGAGATTTCAGTCATCCAAACCAATTCAGCCATTTTTGGTGACCATCCAACATCTAAGGGCAACACAGATCATCAAATTTGGATGACAAAAAATGACTGAATCGTCCGGTCTGGACATTTGCGGGCAATTTAGTGATCAGCAATGGAGTTGCCCTACGGGTTTGTTGCACCTAAGCCATCAAGACATCTTCCTCTTTTCTCTTGTATTCTTCTCCTAGTTGATTCATTATCTCTACCATATTGCGTGAAATAAATTTGGGTTTCTGACAAGAAAATAGTATAACGAAGTTATTGGTATTACAGTGGACTATATTTATTTTTATGTTGCTTGACATGTTGAATTTCTCAAAATAACGTAAAAATAGAACTTTAACAAAAACAAAATGGCCCGCTATTGCTTCAAGTTATGTTTATACTTGACTAAGCAGAAGATCTTCCAGCCTGAGCTCAGAAACAACTAAAAGCACCATATGCAACAACCGAAAACGCGCATACAGCTCACAAACATTAGCTTCCCAAAACTAGGCATTATAGAGCGCTGCAGGATAAATACCTCAGCATTCAAGGGTAAGAAAGCATCACAACTGCAGCTTATTCAGGATTCGAAATCACCATAATCTTTAATCCGGTGTGTACAAAACTGTCTCCGACAACAAATTTAATGAGTCTACAAGGCAAATTCTTGAGTTCAGCCAGTAACACACCTCTGGTTGAACCCTTCGGACACTGCTGTAGGCAATTTAAGATTTTATTGCGGAAGGGGGTTGCAATGTTATCATTCACTTCAGTTTTGTAACTGCAGCATGTATGGCATCTGCAAGATGGGGTACAGTCCTGGAGCTCAAACCAGCCATGCTGATCCTCCTGCAAGACAAAATATATGACCTGTCAATATGAACTAGCTACAGGGGACTCTTGAGAATGAAAACCACCAAAGAAAGCAGTGTCGAGTCTACTAAATGTAAATAAACAGTACGACTGCAAAAGAAGACCTCAAAGTTACACTACTAATGCATTTGTGACGAGATATGTAAATGGGTGAGAATTCACAAGGCATTACCCATCAGATGTCATGTAAATGTGATATTCCTGCCTCATAAAGGCTACTTGATCACTGTTGAGCCCAGTGAAAGTAAACATCCCAATCTGCTTAATGATGTGGGACCAATCTCCAGGTGTTTCTGCATGATATGACAAATGGTCAACACTTTGGCATAGAGGAATTAGTAAGAAATGGACCAAAAGATTGAACATCCATAACTTGGAGACCGATGGACCTGAACCAGAACAGTTAGTGCACTACATGAACTTCAGATTTCAGGGAACTTAACAGGAACTTGGTAATAAACCGTATACAAATATAGGAGGTCGGATATTTATCAGATAAACCGTATACAAATATAGGAGGTCGGATATTTATCAGATTTTGCTAATAACCCAAGAAATTTCTGTTTAGAATAACGTAATACTAATATCCAAAGAACAATTAGTTCAGAGAAATTGTATCAATTGCTGAAAATAAAATGACACTAGGTTCTGATAGAAGATCCTGGGACAAATTATGAGACTGAAAAAGCCATTATTCAGACATAAATTATGTTATTAACAGCAAAGAGGAAACAGTGGACTTTGACAGAAACTAGTAGAGTACCTCTGATTTTCAGCGCATTAAAAAGCTGCTCCCTCATGCTAATTATCCTATCAGCCATGGCCTTCAGCTCCAGAGTCCATTCGTCGAACATCGCACTAAAAATTGAGAAAAAATAGTCAATAAGAACTAAGCACTACCAATTATTAGATTTGTCGATCTGCCAATAAAAATTCATTTCAACACAACTCATTCTATGATTGAATAGAATACTACCTGTCCTTAAGTATGGTAGCCACGATAGAAGCACCATGAAGAGGAGGGTTCGAATACATAGGCCTAATTACAAGCTTAAGTTGACTTTCAACCTTAACAGCTATATCAGCACTCCCACAAACCTGCAACATTAAGTTGGATTTTTTCTTTCAGCTCCTCAAACAACTCAATAAAATGAAAAATATGAGATGAAATACAGCCTCTTATGTATGACACAAGTTCACCAAGTACATCTACTATCTCATTAAAAGAAGGTTAAAAGAAGTTTCCATGTCATACTGAGGTATAAGTAGATAAGAATTATTACAGTTGTATAAGATATACAACTGCAACTATAGCTGTATAGCAAACACCTGTATGTAACTATAACCATATGCATTTTAGCATATTGGACCACAAAGCTGCGGAAGCAATTCTGGAAGTTAATTATTACCATCAACACAGCAAGAAGATGCCTACAAGCTCGAATTCAAGTCCAAAAACTAAGGGTAAGGCCACAAAGGTGAATAACAAAGTATTAGGATAAGATAACTTACGATGCTTAAAGCACCAACACGCTCTCCATACAATCCCATGTTCTTGGCATAGCTTTGAGCCATGAGCAATTCACCACCATCAGCGACGAACATGCGCACTGATTGGGCATCTTTGTCAAGGCTTCCACTTGCAAATCCCTTCACAGGTCATTTCAAGCACATTACTTTATTTGTAAGCTATTTGGAAGAAAATATGCCATGTGAACAAAGAATCAACAAATTATGTGGCTATATAGTCATGTGGCATATTCCCTAAGAAGCATCAGTATTAGGCATGTCAATTACTTACTTGATAAGCACTGTCAAAGAATGGCAGCAATGCTTTTGATCTCATCAGCTGCCTGATCTGTTCCCACTGTTCCAAGGTTGGGTCGACACCAGTAGGGTTGTGGGCACATGCATGAAGCAGTACAATTGCGCCTGAGGGAGCTGAACTGATGTCTTCTAAGAGTCCTGCAGCACATAAACATATCCTTGATTAAGTAAGACTGCCTAAAACGATCCAGTAGAAGTGTGCAAACGTCGTCCTCTGAAATTGCAAATTGAGCACATAGTAGTGCATATGAAAAATTGAAGTAGGCACCTTGGAAATCCAGTCCACGAGTTGCAGGATCATAGTACCGGTAACTCCTAGCAGTCAGGCCAGCTAAAGTGAACACTTTTGGGTGATTCCCCCAGGTTGGCTGGGGGATGTAGATAGTGCGCTGGAGAAAATGTTCATGATTTAGAAATTAAACAATGCAATTACGTCTAGCAACCAATGAAGGAGACAAGAAAAGCTCCTTACTTCATGATAGTGCCTTGCAAGAAATTCACCTCCCACTCTTAAGGAACCAGTTCCTGATAAGCACTGCACTGTAGCCACCCTATTCTCCTGAATAGCAGGACTAATCCAGGAAATGGGAGGTACTTTAATTAGACAATTTTACTCTTTGGTATGAAGGTTTGACTCAAAATTATCATCAGTTAAAGGTAGTAGTTTAACAAACACACCTGTCAGCACCAAAGATAAGCTTGGCACTCAACTTGTTGAAATCGGCCAATCCAGTGATCGGCAAATACTCCTTAACACGTGACCTAAGCAAAGTAAGGAATTAGAGGTCAAATATGCCATCATAAGTTTCCACTGCAAGCATTTAGATACCATACACAATTGTTCTCAGTTCTGACAGCAGTAAATTTTATGTAAACTCATACAAGAAACTCCCCATAAGTCAACAGTTTATACTATACACGGAATGGAACACGCTGCAGTGCTTGTAAAACTGAATCATCTACTGAGAAATATATACTGTAACTAGCGACAAAGGAAATTCGAATAGCAATGCCGTGCCCGGAACTGCGAGTACAACTACGTCCGCTAATCCTACACGACCGTACAACATGGGGAAACCAGTAAAATAGCCTGAAAATGTATTATAATCACAAGTGGGTCGGTAAAGGTCGATAAAATACCTAGGCAACAATTATATTGGAGAATACAGTACGATGGCCACACGATCTACTAACAAAAGGATACCAACAACAACACTCCCACGCTAGGACGAGTATTTTATCCAGAGATCAGATCTACTATGACTAGTTGAATCCCGATTTTATTCAGTTCGGGATACAAGCTCACGGAATGAAACTTCAGTCACTTAAAAGGGGCACGAAAATCATGCGGATCATCCCGATTTGGAGCCAGACTTACTCGTTTTGGATCAGCATCTGCTCGGCGCGCCTGACCACATTCAGCACGAGGGGCTTCCCTTCCTGACTCGGACCAAAACACCAGCCATGGTCAAATCCAGCTCTGATCCAACAGGGAAGCGCAGCAATTCAATGAAATTCCCCAAAAAAACACCTCTCACCTCGGTCCGGTAGGCGCCGACTCCGAGGTTCACCTTGACGGGGCTGGGATCCTTGTTGTACGCGACCGTCACCTGCGTGAACACCCAAGCAAGCACCAATCAGGCCGACGGGACAAAGAAA